CGAACTGCAACAACAATTTGAGCATAACAACATTTGGGCGAACGTGCCATAATCAACTGGGCCCCCTCGCCCTAGGTTTAAAGAAACCGCCCTAATAAACCGGACGCCCCCGCTTCCCCAAAAAGCGCCTGAAAAAACCTGACCTGGGGGACGATTATCAAGGGAATTCGAGGCCTCCCAGATGGGGTCGGAGTAGATGGGGGCGGAGGATCACGCCGCATCGCCGATACATCGGCGATGCATCGGTGATGCACCGGCGATGCATCGGCAACATCGACCTGAAGCAAATCGGGCTCTACATTGAGCCGCATCGGTGATGCATCGGCGATGCGGCGCGATCCTCCGATCCCATCTACTCCGATCCCATCTGGGAACCCTAGATTGACAACCCCCGCGACGATCTAACCGACTTTGAGCGGACCTGGGCCGCGCGAGAGAGCCACTCCACTGGCCCTCCTCTGAGACTTCCATCCGAGCTTGTCCACGGGACTCCCAGGGCCGAGCATTCGCCAAATACCCACTGGTCGCGTTTCTCTTTCACGACGCAGGGATGACGGCATTCGGGTCATGACTGGGGCCTCAAGAGGCCGTCTAGAGCGAGGCGCAGCTGCTGGAGAGCATCCCGATTCGAGAAATTCGCGCAAACCTCTGAAAGCGATGATCGGAGGGCTGCATCCCGTCAGGGGGGCCCAGCAGGGGAGGAACCATCGTCCTGGAATCGACGATACGTCGCCGATGTATCGGCGATAGGCCCCCAATAGTGAATCCGAATGATCCTGGGCGGATTGGGCCACCCCAGCATCAGCGATGAATGAGCGACTGGGAGTCGATGCATCCCCTCCCCCACTGTCCCCCAGTGATCCTCGTCGTCCTGGATTGCGAGTCTCCGGTAATCGGCCGACACGCCTCCTGGCAAGGCGCAGCTGGTGAAACTCATCCCGAGGGCGGAGACCCTCCAGGCAGCGACGGACACGTCCGAACGCCCCCCTGAGCTTTGGTCGGGCATGTCCCCCTACAGGCGGATGTTGAAGGAAAAATGAAAGATACCCCAAACAAACATGTCCCCAAACATTCCTCCTGTAGAGGCCCGACTAAACCCTGAGCCTTTCCCCCCCTAATGTTGCCCCTGACCTGGAGACGACTGTTCTCGAGACGTTGTAGACTCTGGCAAATCTGCCTGCATGCAGGAGGGGGGGGCGTGGCGAGGCCGAAAAGAACTGCTGCACTTCACGCGAGCGGAAACTCGCCTGTACGCCTTTCCGGCCAAGCTTCAAATGGCGGCGGCGGGGAAGGGTGCCGGATTGCCATGACAGAATAAGATAACAAGCGTGGTCCACCACCCGCAAGAAACTACTCGCAAAGTGGCCTGGATCCGCCGCCGGAACTTGCACGATGCATTACGCAAAGGAATACATGCTTTCTGTTCGGACGCGTGCGAGTAGGCACTTTGCGACTAGAGGAACGCGCTGTGTAAACTTGCAGATATCCACATATACAGATACATGTACATACACATGTGTGTAGCAACATTTCAATACGAGTATATAGCTATACGGAAATTTATGTGATATCAGATATAGCTTTCTGTATTAAATATGTATACGAAACTTATGTGTATGTACAATTCTCGGTGTATAGATAGTCACTAAAATGCTTTTAAAAAACAATTGAAATAAAGAGTTACTAATTATCAAATAAAATGCAAATAACAATAACAATAGCAAAGGGAAATAATGAAAAACAATCAACAAACCAAACAAAGAACAACAACAACAACAAAAAAAAACACGGCGTGCTCTTGGCCGGGCGTGGGGACCCTGAGAGATCTCTGGGCCCTCCCCGTGCAGCTCTTCCCCGCAGTCCCCGGGGGATGCCGGCGGGCTGGAGGCCCCCCGTGGAGGTCGAGCACCCCGGAGGTCTCAAAACACACTGCCAGACAGCACGGCGAGCGGCCTATGCAAGAGCGACCGCGGGGAGGCCTTTAGTGACCTTTAGTGACCTTTAGGAGTAAGGAGGTAAGAGTGACCTTTAGGAGTAAGGAGGTAAGAGTAAGGAGGTAAGGAGTCAGGAGGACCGAGAGGACTATGCAGGAGGTAAGAGTGACCTGCAGTGCGCGGCTTTGGGGGGGCCGCGGGGAGGCCAAAGCCAGGCGCGCCAGCGGCTGCTACCGCTTCGCGTTCAGCCATCTGGCGGCCCATCTGTGCCCGCACCAAAGGTCCCTCCGGCGAAAGGTCACTCTCACGTCTAGGCGAGGCGAGCGAGGGGGGAGAGTGGCACTGCACCGGCCTTGCAGACGTGCTGCCGCGGATGTCTGCGTGGATTTCTGCGTGCCAAAAGCGGCGCGTGGAAAACGAAATGGATTCGGCGTGGGTTCTTTTTGGTCTTCACTCCTGGCCCAAAACAGATCCGCGCGAAATTCACTTCGAAATCCGGAAAGAAATTCTCCAGGGCACTCCGGGCCCATACTATCGTTTAACCGATCCCCATCCCCAGCGGCGTGGCCTGGGACCCACTGGCCGATTCACCCCTAGATGGGGACATAAGCCGTTGCCTTCGGGTTTCGAGGGGTGTATCCCCAACTGGGGGGGTAGTTTCGTGGAGGCCTCGACGGTGATGGGGATGGGGGGATCGGATGAAGGATAACGATGTCAAGGAGAAGGCCTTCTCAGAAGGCGGCGGGACTTCTCAGCAGCGCGCCCGAGGGGGTGACGCGAGGGGAACGATTTTCTAAGAAGCCGGCGCGCTGCTTAGAAGACAAGGGCCGTCTCTAAAAAGAGGCCTTCGTAGAAGCAGGGAGGTTTTCTAAAAAGGCCATTGCCTTCTCAGAAGCTCCCCCCCCTTCTTACAAGGCCGCACCCCTTGCGCGACCCCTCGTGCGGGCCGCCCGCAAGGCTCCCAGACCTGCAGTGGGCCATACATCGCCGACTGATCGGCGATAGGCCCCCACTGGCGAATCCGCACGCTCCCGGGCGGGGTGGGGCTATCAGACCCCTATCGACGATCAATGGGCGATTGGGGGTCGACGCATCCCACCTATGCCCATCCCCTCCTGTCGTTGCCGCCGATTGGTCAGCGGCCGCAAGAGGAGTCAGACGGCCGTCGAGCAGGGTTCGGGCGCGCCAGAGCACGGTGAGGCACGAAAGGAGGGCTGCCCCTGAACACAAGGCTCCCCGGATTTGCCACCGATCATGGGCAGGCCTCCGTGCGAGGATGGAGGGGCGGGGAAGCCCCGTCGCCGTCTCGCTTCGTCACCGTCCAGCTCGAGCGCATACTTGAAACCGCCGGCAGCGCGGGGCAGGCGACCACCCCGACCACGGAAGACAGCCGTGGCGCCTGCGCAACGTGTAGAAAATCAGCTCACGAAACCGCACTCTTCCCCAGAATCGGCGGCGAGAGAGGGTGGGGAAGTGAGATGGGGCGGGCCATCTCGGGAGGCCTTCTGAGAGGTGTTCTAAGCCTCCGCGAGGGCTTCGTCCCCCAGCCTCCTGGGAAGTTCCCTGAGCCTTCGCGAGGGCTTCTGCGTAGCCCCGCCGCCTTCTGAGTGTGGAGACACCCCGCCGCCTTCTGAGAAGTTTCTCCTTCTATCGAAGAAGGAAAAAAATACACTTGGTGTTCCGCGCGGATTTCTTGGATCCGCGCTGGGCCCAAAAGGCGGCGCCTCCAGCGCCGCCCCTGGCGCGCTCCGCGCGCCAGGCTCCGCGCGCCGGGGAGGGGGGTCTAGCGCAGAACAAAAAAACCTGCGCTCAGCACCAAACGTTTACGTGTATGGCTTTCTTTTTCTTTGTCGAAAGGAAGAGGAGGAACAGGAGGAGGAAGAGGGAGAGGAGGAACACGAGGAGGAGCACTCTGTAGCGAAGAGGCAGGGGAGAGGAGGACGCCTTCTGGAAGGCCCCCATCGCTCGCCGCCAGCACCGTCCACCATCCTCCCGAAAGTGCAGCTCCTATCCGGAACGAGCACCTCCCCCGACGCCCTCGACGCGAGGCTTAAGTCGGGCCCGTCCCTCTACAGGGGGATGTTCGACGAACAATAAAAAATACCCCCGAAATAATCCAAACATAGTCCAAAAATAATATGGGGAGTATATTTTGAGTATTTGTTGACCTTTCTGGGGTACTTCTTGGGGATTTTACCTAACAGCTCTTGCCGTTAGGTTTCTAGTGGTCTCAAAAGAGAGCATCATGACTCCTCAGGGGGGTCTGGGCGGGACCCGGGGAGGCTGCCGTCGAAGCCGAAATCGCTTGGGACATCCTCGCAAAATCGCTCTTGATGCTCCCAGAACTCCATTCCCGGGCCACATTTTGGATGCCCGGAGCCAACTGTAGGCCACTTCGTGCTCTTCAAGTTCCCAGAACTCCATTCCTGGGCATGATTTTGAATGCCCAGAGCCAACTGTAGGCCACTTCGTGTTCTTCTAGTTCCCAGAACTCCATTCCTGGGCCACATTTTGAATGCTGAGGCAGGCTGATGCTGCGGCCGAGGCAGGCTGAGGCTGAGGCAGGCTGAGGCTGAGGCCGAGGCTGAAGGCAGACTGAGGCTGAGGCTGAAGCAGACTGAGGCTGAGGCTGAGGCAGGCTGAGGCTGAGGCTGAAGCAGGCTGATGCTGAGGCAGGCTGAGGCTGAGGCTGAGGCTGATGCAGGCTGAGGCAGGCTGAGGCTGAGGCCGAGGCTGAAGGCAGACTGAGGCTGAGGCTGAAGCAGGCTGAGGCTGAGGCTGAGGCAGGCTGAGGCTGAGGCAGGCTGAGGCTGAGGCTGAGGCAGGCTGAGGCTGAGGCTGTGACTGCGACTGCCGTTGCCGCTGCGACTGTCATCGCGAATGCGACTACGACTGCGAGAACAGCAGAATTCTACAACTGGATTTTCATCTGAATCTTAAGGGGAATGCTTTCAGATATGCTTCTACACATCGCTGTTAGGTTGCTTTGCCGGGATAATTTCATTCTTCGTCGAACATCCCCCTGTAGGGGGGACACGCCCGTCATAACGCGAGGCGGGGGCGCGCCTCCCCGCGCGCCGGCGGCGCAAACGCCTCGGGCGCGTCGCCCGCCGCGGCCTCCGCGGCCTCCGCGGCGGCCGCGGGCGGCGCCGCGGCGTCCTCGGCGGCGGCGGGGGGTCGAGGCGTCGGCGGGTCGAGGCGCCAGGAGAGGCCGAGCGGTCGAGGCGCGGAGGCGTCGTGGCGTCGAGGACGGAGAGCGATGGGCCTCTTGTCCACCGCCACCACCAGGAGCTGGAGAGGGGAAAGGGGGGAGGAGGAGGAGGGGGAGGAGGAGGAGGAGGAGGAGGAGGAGGAATGAAGGAATGAATGAGATGCCCTGGCGGGGAAAGTGCACAGCACTGAATCGTGAGCTAGACTCCCGTGACTTGCGACTGGTTAAAACTTCGTTGTCGCGAATTCTCTCCATTAGAGCTGCCATCCGCAACTCGTAAGGAGGGACGACCCCTGTAGCCGAAAGCATAATAACCACCGTAGAGTCGGACAAACTGCAACTCGGGGAAATCTCCAACGGTTTCATGGGACCGAACCGAGAAAGAGAGACAGCGGGCCCAGAAACTCCTAGCACTTCCGATTCGGAGGTTTCCCGTGTCTGAAACTGTTAATAGCCTCCGTACCCTTCTTGGTGGGGGGCATACAGGGCCAGCCAACTTCAAAGCACGATCCTGGGACCATCCACAGCATTTTAAACAGACATGCGTTTGCTTCTCACCCACACACATTTCGTCACACGTTTCGTGGCCCCATAGGTTCACCGAAGGCCCCAGTGCCACCGCCCGCATGCGTCACCCACACCCATTGCTGCACACTCCTCACACGCTTCGTGGCCCCATAGGGAGCTCCACCTAAGGCCGCAGTGCCACCGCCCGCAGCACCCATTTCGGCACAACCCTCACACGTTTCGTGGCCCCATAGGGAGCTCCACCGAAGGCCCCAGTGCCATCGCCCGCATGCGTCACCAACACCCATTTCGGCACACCCCTCACACGTTTCGTGGCCCCATAGGTAGCTCCACCGAAGACCCCAGTGCCACCGCCCGCATGCGTCGCGTCACCCACACCCATTTCGGCACAACCCTCACACGCTTCGTGGCCCCATAGGGAGAGCCCCACCGAAAGCCCCAGTGCCACCGCCCGCATGCTTCGGCACACCCCTAACACGTTTCGTGGCCCCATAGGGAGCTCCACGGAAGGCCCCAGTGCCACCGCCCGCATGCGTCACACACATCCATTGCGGTACACCCCTCACACGTTTCGTGGCCCCATTGGGAGCTCCACCGAAAGCTTCAATGCCACCGCCCGCATGCGTCACCCACGCCCATTCCGGCATACCCCTCACGCGCTTCGTGGCCCCATAAGGACATCCACCAAAGTGCCAGTGCCACCGCCTGCATGCGTCACCCACACCATGTTTGTCACAGCTCTCACACGTTTCGTTGCCCCGTAGGGAACTTCAACGAAGGCCACAGTGCCATCGCCCGCCTGCGTGCGTCACCCACACAAATTCCGGCACACCCCTCACACGTTTCGTGGCCCCATCGGGAGCTCCACCGAAGGCGCCAGTGGATGCGTTCGCATGCGTCCACCGCGCCCATCTCGGCAAACCTCTCACACGTTTCGTGGCCCCATAGGGAGCCCCACCGACGGCCCCATTGGCTGCGTTCGCATGCGCCCACCACACCAATTTCGGTACACCTCTCACGAGTTTCGTGGCCCCATATAAGGAATTCCACCGACGGCCCCAACGGCTGCTTTCGCATGCGCCCACAGGACAATTTGTGTCACACCCCTCACACGTTTCGTGGCCCTATAGGGAGCTCCTCCGAATGCAGTTCATACAACGACGGTACTCACAACTGCATATGGTTGGGTCCTTCGCCAGGTTTTTTTTAACTACTTTTGAATATTCCTCCTGAGAAGGGACACGCCCGACTTAATCGTATAGCCCCGTCCGAGGAGGAGCCCTCCCGAACAGTCCGCCTAGCTGTGCTTGTGGTCCTTCTGCTAGGTTGGGCGTGTCCTCCTACAGGCGGATTTGGGACGAAAGGTTACACACACCCAAAACGTATGAAAACATATCCTGGAAAGATCGCCCCCAGACTGTTTTTGACTGTTTTCGAAAATCCCTCCTGTAGGAGGACAGGCCCGACTTCACCCTTGATCATGCCTTATGTTGTTCCCATCCTACTCGAGGACCACATCCCAGAAATAACTTCGAGCACCCGGAAAAGTGTCAACAGAGTGTCGAGAGAGTGTCGACACAGTGTCGGGCGAGTAGTGCCTCCCTGAGGGCCCGACGCGGGAAAGCATGGGAGCTGCGGTACTTTTTGGGGGAGGCGCTCGAGACTCTTCCTGGTGCTCAAGGCTAAAAAGTGGGCTGGAGCATCATAGATTCGGCGGTGGACAAACCTCCCTTTGGTAAACCTCCCCTTAGTGAAAACGGCCTGGGACCGAAACCGACGGACCTGGACCCGCCAAAATGACGGCCGCGACGCCCCCTCGCGAACCGAAAACGGCCAATTCCTTAATCGACGCGTCAGGGTAGGAGGTCTGTCCACCTCCGATGGATCATGCCGTGGCCAAGAGGTCCTCCGGCGGCGCCGCGGGCTGCGGCGGCGGCGGGTCGCCCGCGAGGTCGAAGGGCCGCAGGGCGCCGCCCTCGTCCTGCGACGGAGGGGGCGGCGCGGGCGCGGGCGCGGCGGCCTCGTCGGGCCCGCGGCCGAGGCTGGGCGCGCAGGCCCCGCGAGGGCCGGGAGCTCCTCGCGCGGGAGCCTACGTCTTCGTAGACTGCAGTCGGGCCTGTCCCTCTCCACAGGAGGAGTACCCAAAAATAATAAAAACAACAATTACTCACTGCGTGGAGCTCCCCATATGTGCATCTACTCGCATGGACCTGTCCGCCGTGAATGTCTAGGCGCAAGAGCTTTCGAATATTAACTGGCTTCCGTTGTGACGGTCTGGACATCAATCTAACTGCGAATGAATTGGAGTGCGAATGAGCCTCAGTAGTAGGAGCGCGTCTCTGTGCATGAGCCTGGGGCCTCCTGGGGCCTCCTGAAACCTACTGGGGCTTCCTGGGGTCTCCAGGAGCCTCTTGGGACCTCCTGGGACCTCCTAGGAAGGTTTCGTGCCCCAGGAGAGGCGCAATCTATAGCAACAGACGTACATAAAACAGTGCGGATTAGAGCCACTTTTTACACACCAGGCAGCTCGTGCGACACGAGCCGATCCTGCCGCCAAAAAGGCGAGAGCCGCAAAATGCGGCCAGGAGGCTCCGCAAACAGCGGCCTCCAGGTTGCAGCGCGCTCGCCACGCTGCGTGGGCGTGCGCCGTCAGGTGAGGCGGCCGCGCGAGCCACCATCCACCCCGTGCCGAGCCTGAAAAGGCCCAGACCACCGTAGGCACTCCCCAACTCACTCACTCAGGCGCTTGCCCGTCTTCGGGTCCAAGCCTGCCCTGATGTTGGCGATCTTCAGGTTGCGCAGGCGCAGCGCGTTGCCTGAGGCCGCGACGCACGTCTTGCCGAGCGTCCTGTGCTTGCCGTTGATCTCCTTCGCGTAGGCCTCGCACCGTGTGCAGATCCTGAAGCCGTTGATGCTGAGCAGCGCGTGGCCCGCTCCTTCAGCCTCCTGAGTTCCTGATCCCCCAGGCTCGTCCACCTGCATGGCGTCCTGGGCGACCTCGGGGCCTGCGCTCGCCTGGCCGTCGGCGGGGTCCGCCGCCGCCACGCCCTGAGCCTCGCGCGCAGCACGGGCGGCGGCCACCGCACGCATGAGGGCAGCCCCAGGCGAAGGGTCATGGCCGCTGCCGCTTCTGCTGCTGCTGCCACCGCCTGCCGCCGCCGCCACGGGACGTTGCAAGGCCCGCGTGCCCGCAGCTGGTGGCTCGCGAGCGGCGCCGACAGGGCTCGGCGCAGCCAGCTGGAGCTCGGGCTCGGGGACCGCCTCGATCTCGTCGTCTTGTGCACTCTGAGCCTCCTGCTCGAGCCTGTGAGCCGCCGCCAGCGCCACCGCCACAGCACCTGCAGAAGCCAACGCCGACGCAGCAGGCTTACGCCTCGTGCCGCTTGCCACGGGCGCAAACGGCTTGGCCACACACGGGTCCTTGAGCAGCCGCTTGATGCTGAGGTCAGTGTACGCCGTCTTCAGGCAGGCCCTGCAATGAACCCCGCCGCCAGCCACCTTGACCACGTCGTGCCTGGTGACGCTGAGAGGCGGCCCCTTGTGAATCGGCTTGCAGTTCGGGTCGATGTCCAGCTTCAGGTCAGCTGCCTCGCACCCCGCACGCGCAACCCAGTGCACGACTCCGTCGAGAGTGAGCGACCGCCGCTGCCAGGCTTCGCGAAGCTCAAGCGGCGCCCTCACTGCGGCTGCAACTACCTTCGCCGCACGGTCGGCCTCCCAGTTGCCTCGCCTGTCGCGGGCAGTGATGTCTCCGTTCTGAACCATGGCCGCCGTGGCGTGCGCCTTCACCTTCTGAGTTGTGAGCCCCTGGGGCCCAATGCCACCGAAGTCGTCCAGTGCCGCCCAGACGCGCCTCCATATACACCCCCCAGGCAGAGGTCGCCTTGGTGGTGCTGGCTTCGCCCCTCTCCGTCAGGCCATTGGTGACGTACGAGGCGTCGAAGGCCGCTGTGATCGGGGGCAGGCTGCGGCGGAGAAGCACCAGGCACCCCAGGAGCTCGGCCCCGTCAATGGACTGCAAAGGCTCAGGCAAAGGCGTGCCCAAGGCCTTGACGGCCGACTCGGGTCCAGGATCCCAGTCGTCGCCGCCGTCGGGCAGCTGCACCATGCCGCATGCCCCCACCGCCAGAGAGGTCCCAGCCTCGTAGACCGCGCCGTCAGAGTAGACCGTGGTGCTGGAAAACGGGAACCCGCCGCCTCCCTTGAGCCACTGCACGCGGGCGAGGAGGTCATCGCCTGGTGGGCGCCACGCGTGAAGAGGCTCGGGCAAGACCAGCCTTTCCAGGAGCGTGGTGATGGTCACGCTGGTGCTGAAGGGAACAAGTTTGCTGATCTCGGCTGGGAGCGTCAGGCTCGGCCAGCTGTCCTGGCAGGCGGCGTGCCTGTGCCAGGGGGTGCCAGGCTGCCCAGGATGTAACTGGCAGCACGGCGTGTGCGAGATCCGCGGGGCACCGTGGCACCGCCTGCTGTTTGGCCACTGCCCGAGGACGAAGACCGAGCGCGCGTACCCTCGCTGGCTGCTGTTGAGGGGCTCCCAGTCCTTAGCCAGGCTAGAGCTCCCTACACCCTTGGCAAACCAACGCCGCAACTGCGAAACGAAGATGCCACTGCGAACGTCCTCGTGAGTGCCGTCTGCCAGGAGCTTCATCTGCCACGGCCTCACATCCAGCGTGATACACTGCCTGGCGCACCATGGGGAGACCTCCAGCAGGTTGATGATCGTGCCGTTCGGCCTGACAATGCAGTCCAGCGCCTCGGGGTCGTAGCCGATCCTCCTCAGCGACATGACCACCGCACCAAGCGGCCCACGTACATCAGCCCAGCATGTGGCCGAGCTCGCAGCCCACTCAAAGGCTGGCCTGAGCTGCGCGAGCGGCACCCACTTCTCCCACACAGCGCGCGCCAGCGTGAAGCAGGGCGCCAGCGTCGCCGCGAAGAGAGGGTCGATGGTGGGAGATCCCCCCACCAGCAGGCACGCCGTGAACGACTTCCCGTGGGGATTCGGCTCGATGGCATGCCGCACCATGCTGCGCGCCTGCTGCAACTCCGTGTTGTTGAGCCCCGTGCAGTTGATGCCATAGAAGAGGCTGGGAGCCAATCCTGTCGAGACGATCTTAGCCGCTGTGGCCCTGCCTCGACGAAGTCCCAGTAGCCGCCGGATACGAGGAAGGCGGAGTCGACTCTGAGCGATGCAGTGCCGCCTGACGACGCTAGACCGCATGCCGCCCTCCGTGTAGTCTATGCCGAGGTTGCGCACCTCCCTGACTCCGATCGCACCCGTGGTCGAGCCCAGGTGCTTCTGGAGAGTGGCCCTCAGGCACCTGCTGCTGGCCAGCACGCGCGACTTCTTGACGGCAATGGACAGGTGGACCTTCGCCAGCCCCTTTACCACCGCCTTTGCAGCCATGGTGAGATCCTCGGCTACTCGCTTCAATCCTCCCCATCGCTGCAGCACAACGTCGTCGACCACGACAGCAGGGACCACCGTGGGGCAGGCGATCTTCATCTCGTCGAGCGGCGAAAGGGGCATGACCTTCATGAAGGCAGTGGCGAAGGCATCGCCAGCCAACACCGTCTGCATAACCCATAGCTCGTCAGAGCAGCACGTCTCCAGGCTGATAACCCTGGGGAGACGGTAGAGAGAGACCTGCAGCTTGGCCAGCCACAGCGGAAACTTGTGCTGCACACACGCCTGCAGCAGGCTGCCGTGCAGGATCTGCTCGAAGGCCTTCCACAGGTCCATCATGATCGACGCCGAGGCCCAGTCCTGACCCTTGTTCAGCTCGCCCATCATCTGGACCCATTCTGCTCGAGCCTGCTGCTGTCACACTGCCCTGTCGCAGCTCTTGCCCGAGCTGGCCCGCCAGTAGTCCCTGTCGTGCGACGCCTCCCAGGCCTTCGCGATGCCCCTGCGGAGCCTGCCGTGGATGCGGACCACCGCGCCCAGCAGCGCGATTGGGCGGAGGCCCCCGTCCGACTTGGGGACGAAGGCCAGCTTGGTGATGAAGGAGGGCCAGTCGCACTGCACCTCTATGGCGACCAGCAAATCGATGAGCGTTTCGATCCCAGCGTCGTCGAGCACGCCCAGCTCGCGCGGTCGCAGCGCGTCGAAAGACGAGCCGCTGGAGCCCTTGAAGGTGGCGATGACCGCCCTGGTCTCGCTCACCGACGGCCGGGCAGGGCGCTCGCCAAGATCAGCTGGCCACTCGAGCGACTCCACTGCGAGCTCGCCCCCCAGCGGCGTGGGGGGCCCTACTCCCCAATATCCTGACCACTCCTTCACCAGGGCTTGGACCATCTGAGAGAGCGTTCGGGGCTCGCTCCCTGGGGCCCCTGAGATTCTCGGCTGCCAGCCCTGCGGAGGTTTGGTCCAGGAGTGGAGGGCCCCCGTACCTCTAGCGTGGTTCTCGGCGACACAGTCTCCGAAGCCCGCCTTCGCCTTGTCAGCGTCCCGCTGCACAAGCGCGTCTGCCATGGTGGCGGCGATGAAGCTCGCAACCTGCAGCTGGGGCAGATCCATGGAGTGCGCCGCCTGCGCAAAGCCCTGCAAGGTGATGTGACCCTGCGCTGTCTCCGGCCTGGAGTCGGACTGAAAATCGGGCTGAGCACAGCACAATCGATCGAGCGCCTTCAGCGCCCTATACCTCTTCAGCTCGATGTCGGTCTGAGCGGCGCCCTTGATGGCGATGGCTACGCTCTTGCACCAGGAAGTGGTGGCGGTCACCCTCGGCAGCCTGGGCGCCGTCGGCTTCAGCACCCTGACTACGGCCAGCCTAGGGCGCCGTTCACGTCCAGCAAACTCGTGATACTCGTGCTTGAGGCCGATGGCGTCCAGCAAGTACCGCTCGGCACTGTGCACGAAGGTCTGCCACATGATGTCCAGCGAAGAGGTGGTCGCCATGCGGCCGCGCGCCTCCGCCCACCTCTGGGAGTGGTCCTCGGCACAGCACGCCTTGGGTAGGGGGTGCGGGAACTTCTTGG